CCAAGACGGCCCCCGCGGGAGGCGCCGGGGCAGAAGGCCCTCCCGCTCGCTCCGAGGCAGGGCAAGGGGGGCAAGGCTCGAGCGGCTCGAGCCGCGCGGCCCTGGCCCCCCTGCCCCCTGGCAAACATCGGCGTGTGCTGCTGCGGCCGGGCATCCAGCCATCTCACGCGGAGGAGGAGGAGGAGGAGGAGGAGGAGGAGGAGGAGGAGGAGGAGGAGGAGGAGGAGGAGGAGGAGGAGGAGGAGGAGGAGGAGGAGGAGGAGGAGGAGGAGAGAAGGAGGAGGAGAGGAGGAGGAGGAGTTGGAGTGGAGGAGGGAGAGGAGGAGGAGGAGGAGTTTGAAGGAGTTAGAGGAGGAGGGTCGATGCACCTCGGCGCCCGGGTGCTGAGCCACCGCGCGCGCGGCAAGGTGGTCGGGAGCGGCGGCAGGCGCCCCGTGCCGCGGGCGGCCCTTTTTCACCCTGGCGGACCCCGGGTACCCCCCCCCCCTCGTCGTCCTCCTCCTCCTCCTCCTCCTCCTCCTCCAACTCCTCCTCCTCCTCCTCCTCCTCCTCCTCCTCCTCCTCCTCCTCCTCCTCCTCCAACTCCTCCTCCTCCTCCTCCAAAAGGGTGTGTTTAGGACCAGTGAGGTTCCGGGCCCACGCACGGAACAGATCGGATTCCTCGGGCCGGCGCCACGGGCCAGCAGGACGCGAGAGAGAGCCGCGCCGGAGGCAAGCAGGATCTACGAGGATCCCAACCAATCGCAAGGGGGCAACTTGGATGAGTAAGAGAAGGACCCCTAACCGTTTGGGAATGGACCTAAGTTAGGAGGGCCCATTACATTTGGCATAGGGGGTCTTCTCTGCAGGTGTATCAGACCAAACCGCCCAAATTCATGATCCCGAATGCGAAGACGGGGGCCCAAATGAGGCCACGCCTTCATCGTGTTCTTGGGGCGAAGGTCTCTTTCGTTCTCGACGGGAGGAAGAGCCGTGTCCGAGGCAAGAGGGATCTGCGAAGATCCCCAACCAATCGCAAGGGGGCATGACTTGGCGGGGCCGGCGAGGGGATGCCGCCTCCTGAGTTCGCGGGAGGGTCTTGCAAGAGGGAGGGCGGACGCCTTCGTAGAAGCCCTCCGGGCTCGTGGGAGGTCTTCTTGCTGGAGAGCCGCCGGGCCCCTCTGAGGAGGCCCGTGCAGTCTGATAGCGGCCTGCTCTGAGGAGGCGGGGGGGGGGCTTCCGCGAAGGCGACCGGCTTCTGAGAGGCCGTCCTGGCTCCTGGGGGTGTCTTCTTGAAAGCCGCCAGGCCCTTCCAAGAAGGCCACGCAGTCAGATAGCGGGCTTCTGAGAAGGCGGGGGTGGGGGGGCTTCCAGGAAGGCGGCGGCGGCGGCTTCTTGGAGGCCCTCCAGGCTCCTGGGAGGCCTCCTTGCAAGCCGCCTGGCCCTTCTCAGAAGGCCCACGCCTTTTAAGACTCGGCTGCACGCAGGACGCAGGACCTTTGTGGGCCCCGGAAACGGCAGGGCCGTTTTTTCACCGTTTCCACAAAACATGCCCCTTGAAAATGGAAACGGCAAAAAAACGGCTCCAGGATTGGAACCGGAGCTGGAACCGGGCAAACAACGGCGACGGAACTGGTAAAAAACGGCGTCGGAACCGGCAACAAAAACGGCAAAACGGAACCGGTAAAAAAACGGCCCTGTCGTTTCCAGGGCCCACTGAGCGCAGGAGTGACCTCGGCACACGTGACCTTTGCGGCGCGTGGCTTTAGAGGGCCGCGGGGGGGAGGGGCATTCCATCCAAGCACGCAGGCCATTGCTGGGGGGGCTACTGTGGGCCCGCCCCCGATGCCACTCCAGCGGAGGGCCACTCTCAACGTGCAGTCGACAGAGGCACCCCGCCTCCTCAGAAGCCCACCTCACTCACGGCACCACCCTGCCTCTGGAGGCCTGGAAATTGGCACCAACACCCGCACAGGGGGTCGCCTCCACATGGGGAAGACGATCCTAGATTTCGGTGTTGGTGGTAATATGTCGGTCACCTTGGAAGCCAATTACCACCATCACCGAGATCGGGATCGTCTTCCCTCGGTGTTGGTGTTGGTGTCAACCTCTGGAGGCACACCGCCGATCTTGGTGTTGGTGTAAACCTCTACACCTCGTTAATTTCTGATCGTGCTCATTTCTAATTGTGCTTGTTTCTAATTCTTCCTGGCCCCCGGGTGGCCAGGAAGAGGCCCAGGGTAGAAGGATTAGAAATGAAAGGATCTTGGCCCCCCAAAAAAACAACGACCTGTCGAATAATTAGGAATGAACCACGTGTAGGCCTGCGATGTCTCGCTTGTGAGCGCCGCCGACCCGTGTGATCTGCGGAGAGGCCCGAGCAGAGAGGCCGATGGCAGCGGGAGGACCAGCAGGCGCAGAGCACGAAGGGTGGACTCCTCCTCCTCCTCCTCCTCCTCCTCCTCCTCCGCCTCCTCCTCCTCCTCCTCCTCCTCCTCCTCCTCCTCCTCCTCCCCCCCATCCTGATCCTCCTTCTTCTCCTCTTCCTCCTCCTCCTCCTCCTCCTCCTCCTCCTCCTCCTCCTCCTCCTCCTCCTCCTCCTCTTCCGACGACGACGACGACGGCGGCGGCGGCGGCAGCAACGACGGCGATCGACGACGACGACGATGATGATGACGAGAGCGGCGATTGCGACGGCGACCACGAGAGACAAAGGAACAGTCTTGGCACTCTTGGCACGAGGGGAAGGGCGTCCTGAGAGAAGCTGGTTCTGGAACTCGGGTCTGCTTTCCCAGAGGACAACACGTTCATCCTGGGCAGCTTCTGGATGGCCAGTGTGGTCGGCAGCGGCCCCAAGAGCCCGACAAGAACGAGAGACCGCAACGAGAACCCGCAGGACCCAATGCGAAGTAAGCGCAACCTCTGCCGAGGGTGGCCACAAACGTGCGCTGCGTTTGGGGTTGCGCGCCCCCCCCCCCCCCAGGGCGACTGCCCCCAGAGGCCCTCTGGAGTGGCACCCGTGGATGCCACCTTCACCAAGGCCTCACGCAAAGAGAGACCCCAGGCAAGAGTGAACTTACGTGCGCGGCGTTCGGAGGGGCGCGCGCGCGTGAAACCCAGGCGCGCAGCCCGCACACGAGGTCCCTCGGGCGAGAGGTCACGCTTACGTGCAGTCGCCTGCAGCCCCTCACCCAAGGTCACCCTCGCATATCTTTGGAGTCCCGAAACGGTGCGGTGACAGACTGTGCGGTGACCTCGAAATCCCCCAAGACCTCACCGCACGGTCCGTCACCGCACGGTCTTGGGACCCTGGAGGCCCCTGTCGCCCAAGACATCCTCGGAGAGGGACTCGAGTCCCAAAACCGTGCGGTGACCCCGAATCCCCACCGACTCACCACACGGTGTGGTCACCACCCCGTTTGGGGGCCCTCGCATATCCCTCGAACTTGGAGGTCTGGGCTCCGGAGCAGAAGATCGACCCCCCGACTCGTCAGGGGGTGCGTTCTGGTCAGAGATGCGAGGAGAGGCCAGCCAAGGGCCGAGCAGGGCTCCCCGGAAGGCCCACGAAGGAGGCCTCGACAGGGCAACACAGACGTCAACTTCCGGAGGTCCGCGTGCACCTGGCGTCGCCGCCCCCGGTGCGCTCCGCGTGCCAGGGAGGGGGTCCGGCGCCGGTCCAGGGAACGGGCGCGGACATGGTAAGGAGTTTGTGCTTGTGAAGCCCTTGACTATCCCGCCGCGCAAGCGCCCCTCGAACCTCGATCCTCCACGAATCGCCGACCCGCCGGGGGGCAACAATGGAGAAAGGGGGGGATCGGCTCAGGGTGGAAACGTCGCCTTGGAATCGGCGATGCATCTCCGACTGATCGGCGATAGGCCCCCGATAGAGAACCCGCAAGCTCCTGGGCGGGGTCGGCCAGCAGGCCCTTCTCGGCGATCGATGCAGCCCCTGTTGAGTCCATCCTGGGACGAGCAATTACCATGTCATGATGCGAGTGGCTCCGGGCACGTGCCGGGAGCTCCAGATTATCCGGCGGCCCTGGTCTCTGTAAAGGGGCCCCAGAACACACAAATAAATACACACAAATCAAAATATTCCCCATATTTTCTCATATTTTCTGGGTTTTTATCTTCCCCCCCAATTCCCATATTTTCGCATATTTTCCTGGGGATCGACGATTAATTGTGTCTGTGTGTTTTTTCCCCTCCTGACTCTGGAGCCCTGGAGCCCGCGCGGAACAGCAGAAAGCCCCGAACATCACGCAGCGCATCAGCATCAGGACTCCTTGCTCTTCTGCCGCGGGCAGGAGCTCGCGGCTCCGGGCGACGCGCTGTGCCTTGCGAGCGGACAGCGTGTACCGACCCGCGGGGCGGGGGGCCGGGGAAGGCTCTGGCCGCCGATGCTCGAGTACTGAGATGTGCTCGGCACGTCTCGCCGAGGCGTGGTGGGCCAGAACCGGCGGCGCAGCACTCTGAGCCCCAAACTCCTGACCGCGCGTATGGGGGAAACGCTGCAAGTGCCTGAGCTTCCCTGGACGCCCTCAGCTTGCCAGCTCTTCCGCGCAGCCTGCCGCTGCTTGGTGAGTGGGCCGGCCGGCCTGCGGCACGTCTAGTAGCTAATCAAGCCGCTTCCGTGTCCCGGAGCGCTTCTGACTCCGCTTGCGCTCTTGCTGGTGGACGCGACCGGAAAAAGTATGGGGGAAACGCTCCCCGGGCCTCTCCCAGCGTGCGTTCTGGGCAGGACTTCGAGGCGAAGGCGGCGGTGGCGACGAGGGCCCCCCGGGAGGCCCAGCAAGGCGGGAGCGAGAGACGGGCAGCGGGATCCGCCAGCCACCGTCGGCGCGCGAGCAGGAGGCACGGCAACAAGAAGGCACGCGGGGGGGGGGGGGCTTTTCCTGGTCGCGGCAAGCTTCGGCCACGAACTAAGTTCCCCGACCTGGATCCGAGAAGCGGCCTATGAACACCCAGAGCCCCTCCCGAGGCCAAACTGCTCCCATGCCAGCGCCTCGACTCTACCCCGTCTATAGGGCATCGAGCTTCGCACCTTCGCGCCCCGCGAAGGCGCGAGGACCTCCGCACCTCCGCGCCGCCCTCCGCCGGAAGGCCTCGCGCCTCGCCCTGACATCGCCTGGGCCGCGAAGCGCCGCTCAGCTCACTCCGCGCCCTCGCGGCGGCCCTGACCTCCCGAGCCCAAAGAAATAGCCCAATTCCAGCGCCTTTGTCGGGTCGGGCGAAAGGGGGGGATTGGGAAAGGGGGGGTTACGAAATTTGCTGCATGCAGCTGGTTTCGGCCTCACCGAGGGGCCCATTCCTCGATACATAGTCGCCTCCGGCGCCGGGAGGCGCCGGGAAAATCAGCTACGTGAGCTGATTCTCAAACCCCCCCTTTGCTATCCCCCCCTTTGCCCGACCCACTTTGACGAGCCGTTCCACGGCTCGCAGAGTGACTCCTGCAGATGGCCTGGTCCCCCGCGGAGGACCGCGGATAAAAAACTACACCCACAGACACCGCGTCCCTTTCGGACGCTTGCGAGCAGGCACTCTGCGAGCAGTGGACCGCGCTCGGTGAGCCCTGACTGTGCCTCTGCCACCGAGCATCGGGAGCGGCCAAGAGGGGGGTGTCCAAGAGGGGGGGGTGCAAATCATGACCGGCGGCATGTGCGCGGCCCAGCGGGGGGGCCAGGGACGTAATGGAATAAGAAGAGGCGCCATGAGATCTGGGGAAATATCATGGCCCCCGCCATAGAATCCACCCCCCTAGTCGTCATCAGATCATCAAACCCCCCTCTTTGCCGCCCCCGAGAAGCAGACCCCTCTTATGGGACGAAACAACCATGAAATATCATGGCCCCCGCCATG